CGGGAAGAGGGGATGAAACACTCGGGTCGGTATTTGATGACTATTGCATCCCTTGTCGTCCGATAACGTCACGGACACGTGCTCAGCGGAGCAGGCTCACTGCGTGGAGCTGGCCTACTCATCCGGCGCTCGCGCGTCAGGGACGGAGCGGCGCGCAAGTGTCGACAGTTTGACAAACGGCGGTGCTGCTCGCCAATGTTCTCTTCTTTAACCGATTCCATTTCTTTTCCTTCGCAGGCTCCGCGCCCGTCGTCCTGCACCGCCACACAATGTCCCACAGCCGCCCCGTGACGGATGGCAAAGAAGGCGGCGCCGCCGGCAGAAGAACCGATAGCGACGCGGACGGCGGCGTCTCCTCTCGCCGGACCCAGCAGCCTGCAGGCAGCCTGCCCAGCCAGGCGCGACGGTCCACACGACGCTGACGTCAGACCGGGCGTCCCGGCGACCCGCAGGTGCGTGTGTTGTATTGGTTGTATGGCACCGCGCGACAGCCAGTCGGTGTTTTTTTTTTTAAACCATTAATTTTAAATCTAATGAAGTTATTACCATGTTGGTTTTTAGTATAATACTACTATATATACTGAAATAACGTCTTTTGACGAGAGCCGATCGAAAAACCAGCAAACTGTGCTCGTATTACTCAATTTTATCCATTATTACATAGTAACGCCAAAAGAATCTTGACCTATCCCAAACGGAGTTTGGCTGCTATGCTGGCACCCGGCAATTTGGATGTGTTTTTGGATAAAGTGCTCGCTCGCTTTGATGCGGTGAAATCACTCGTATAAAGTGAGTAATATTTTGTTTTTATTTTCCGCGTATGGACGCGTGGAAAGATTTCTTTGCCGCAACCACACAACACAACACGCGGATTCAAAACATTTCGCTGCGTTGCCGAAAAACTTCCCCGCGCAGCAGCACCTAAGTGGAAGCCTTCTTCTGTGCTCCTTATCCCGATTTTTCCGACCATCCTCCCGTCCCGATTGACGTACGCCGCGGGTGGAGTGCGGCGTGTGCGCGCGCGCTACGGACGGGCGAGCAGCTCTTCCTTGACAATGCGATAGTACTATACTTTTGCGCGGCGTATGGCGGGGCGTGGCGGAGCCAGAGCGGAGCCGGCTGAGCTCCTCCAAAGGCCCCTCCTTCCACCTCTCTGTAATTTCGCCCCGCGCGTTTTCTCACGGGTGCTCGCGGGTGTACTGAATGATTTACGGTTTTCCAGCAGCGCGCAGGAAATTTTCCACTCTTATTTGCAGCCAGGCGCCGCTGTCGTCCAGCAACGCCGCGGCTTTCGGTCCCACCGCGGTGTGGTCCGGATGCCCGCAGAGAGGCTCTGGAGCAGCGCCCCGGGCCTGCAGGACGTATCGTTCTCCCCCCCCCCCTTCTCTCTCTCTCTGGACCGATACGCTCTTCTGCTCGGATGATATAGAAAAAACCCGTTCCTACGAGTCCTTCCCATGCGTTGCGTTCGAGGTTGCGTTATTTTGACTGCGCGACTGTTTTTGACGACGCTGTTTGTTTTGACCGCATCGACGCCCGCCCCGCCCGGTCGGACGGCGGCGGCGCAGGGGTCGATAACTAGAGGACGACGACGGCGCTAAGGAGGATCTTGGGATATAAGAAAAAAAAAGTGAATTGGCGTCCGCTCCTGCGGAGGCAAAAACAACACCTTTTGTGTCGTGCGGGTTCAAAATTCCCCCCGCATCTTGCGCGCCTTTTTATCGTTTTTATTATTTTCCTGTCTCGAGCGAAACTCGTCCGGCGACCCGGCCCGGGCATTCCCTCTCGTGTTGATCGATGCGGCGGGCGGAACAAAATCGCCTGCACTTAAATGAGAGGATGAATGGACACACTGCAAAAAATTATGACAGGAAAACTACAGATCGTCCTGCTAATTATTTTCCAGGAACTTCTGTCATTCGAATAACAGCATCGATGTAGTTTTAATGGTTAAAGGCGTAGATTACGAAAATAGGTTTTAGAATCCAATGTTGTTCCATGGGAAAGAAATATTTCTGTACCCTAGGTGCAGTGACTAAGAGCGGCATCTACAGTAACGCTGTAGATCGTTCTGTATCAGACTCTAATTTTTTGCCGTGCAGGCCACGCCACGCCACGCCTCGCCACGCCACGCCACGCCACGCCACGCCACGCC